TGGGACGATTGGCCGTCAGTGTTTTGGCGAGTGCAGTCAGATGACAGATGAGATTTCGTATTAGCTTGCCATCAGCTGATCTGCCCATGTCATGTTCAGGCAGAACTTACTCAAGCTTGATTTGGATAGCTAAAACGTCGTTGAGGTTGCTTCTAGTACCAGAAACACTAAGATCTGCCCATTGTGTTTGAGCAGGAGGAAAAAAAAGGCTTTCTGTCTGATCAGTTTAGAGGCTGAGACAGCAGTTGACAAATCACAGCTTTCTAATAGAGTTCTTCTATCCCCTCTTGCCCTGAAGTGTATCCTTCAAGCTGCCACTTCATAACAAATGAGTGAATAAAATATGCTGCACTGATGAACATAATTGAACTACTGACTGGACAATGATGAATCTTGAGGGACTGAGGGCCTTTTAAGCACTCCAATCTAAAACTCTGCCTCTCTATCACTTTCCTCTGGGATCACCACCTTCCACTGAGGGAAGGAAATCATTCTGATATCTTGCACCAAGTTGATGGATCAGCCTCTCCACAAATACAGTACAAACCAAGGACAAAATACTTCCTCCCAGTAGTTTGACTACAGTAGAAAAAGACGCGCACGAACATCTTTCCAGGAAACCTCTAATGAGTATTGTCAGTTGGAATGTAAAGGGAATATGGGCAGAAATCCAGGAGGAAGAATCAGGCTGCTGGATTGTGTTATGATGACTGTATAGCCTTATTGGCAGAGACCAGATGGAGCTTAAGTGAAGGGAGAGGTCCCTTCCACAGGCATGACGAACGTTTTGGCAACATGGCTACAAATGTCCCTCGAGCCGAGCCTGAGTAAGTCCATCCTGGAATGAAATCATGGCCACACACACAATTTGTTCAACTATAAAAGTTACCACCTGTAACCAAGAAATAAATAAAACTGTAGTAGAGACGGAGACTCTAGTGAATCATTTCTAACAATTCATGACACACTTGGGATCTGTCTGACGTTTTGACACACTTGGACTGCTACAGTCCTTGATTTCATTACTGATTAAAACGTCTGCACTGAATAATATTATTGATTATTATTATTGGTCTATAAAATGTCAAAAACTCCATCACAAGTTCCAGAGACTGAAAAACCTAAAGTGATTCCGTTTCTCATAACATGACAGAGAAACATTGCAAAATTCCTCGTGAAGACGTTAAATTTGATAAACTAACGTATCAAAGTATGTATACTTTCTGTCGACAACGGTTTGAGTAATCGTTCAAGCACAAGTAAAGCGAGCAACAGATGTTCTTTGTTCTTCTTTTGGACCGACATCTTACAGTTCTGACACTGACTCATGCACAAATGTTAATGAATAAATTCAAAGAAATGTATTTAATATGGTGAACCGCACCCATCTGATCCCCCCAGTAAGATGAAACAAGCAGAAATGCAGGATTTGACCTATAAAGGATGTCGAGCGTTGCCACACACAAACACTAACTGCAGTGAACACAAGAACACAGTCAGCATTCTCTCTCGCTCTCAAAACCTCCAGAAAACCTCATCTGTCCTCTCTTAAAGCCTGTGAGGCATCTGGGAGGGACCGTCAACGCTCCGGCCAGTGAATTACATCAGCTATGATGTCAGCCTTTGGGCTCCCACTGCACCTCATGCGCCAACACCCCTAAAACTAGTAACTCAAAACACACATGCAGGCTTCGGTATATGCACATCTACATGAAGGTAAAACAGCACACAATAAATGTTACGTTACTAATGAGAGAAACGTCTGAAAAGATTAACATGGTTTCTTTAATAACACATGATTTTCTAATGTACACAAAAATAAGTCTAGTCGGAGAGACTGGTTCTATTATGACAATATGTCTCGTTTTGATTTAATGGGTAGGTGGACTTTGTTACAGACAGATGCAATGGCTGCATCATTCATGGATGGGTGTGAGTTAAGGGCTTTCTCTCTACATCCTTCTCTATTTTTACACCTTCCTTTCTCTCGCTCTTTGCTTGCCTCTCTGACAAGAAACATTTCCCTTTAAAACTCTGCTTCCATGTAATATTTATTTAGTTCCTCTCTGTCTAATGTGCATACCATTCCTAAGCCTAAGCTCTCCTGTCTGGGCTTTCTCAGCCCATCTGGCACTCAAACAAGGTAAAAACAAACTTAAAGAATGATTTTCAAACAGTATCTGAGCCAAATTGTTTCGCCATTTTTATGCAAAACCGACAGCAAACAGACTCAGTTTGTCTTCACAAAAGGGGTCGACTACTGACGGAGGCAATGGAAAATGTAACTCCACACAATTCTCGTACTTTGATAGCGTTTTAAACAAATACTTTCTGTAATTTAATAAAAAATTCCATGACAGATGATAGAGTAAAATATCTTTGCTACAACGTATATACAGTATACCTGCAGTTCGCTTTTAGCACAAACTGGACTTAAACTAATTGACTTTCCTTCTAAAAAATGCCCATTAACGTCTGCAGCGGAGTCCGGTATGAGTTTTTACTTCCTTCAAATAAAATTCAAATATCACAAATAAGCCGACAGGTATTGTTTTTAGTGAGTTAGGTGTCTCATGTTGCCTCAAGTTGCTACAACACTTTAAACAAGACTGACATGTTATCCAAGTTGGTGTGTGATGTGTTTGGGTGTGGCGTCCTCAAACTGAAAACACTCTGGTATACCTGATAGAGCAAGATTATGGTTGTGCGTTTGTGTATGCCTGTGGATGCACGTGTGTGTGTGTGTGTGCGTTTGCTCATGCGTCAGTCTTTTGACGTGCAGTCTGTCTTTTGTTGTTTTTCGTTGTTATCAGAGAGATTCCCCTCTCTTCCTGTCTCCCACAATGCATTGCTGTCTTTATCAGGCTGCACAAGAGGTAGAGAAGTGCTGGGATGTAAAACCCCTCCATACCTTCCACTTCACTATCTTTTCTCTTTTCCCCTAAAGGGCATCTCCCTTCCTTTCACTCCCCTGCTCTCATTTAATCTCTAGCCTTGACATTTTTTTCTCAACTTCAGTTGTTTTCTGTTGTTTGTCTCCAGTTTTTAGTCCTTCTGCTTGTGAGAGCGACAGGTTCGGAGAGGGAATGATGGCTGGTTCATTCGTAGGTCAGTTCAGACTTTAAGGGTCCACTCCGTTCCCAGTTTAATCGGGTAGAGCAGGGTCCCGATGCCACGGCTATTGAGTCTGTGTGTGAGTACGTGTTATACCCAAATGATGGATCTCAGCAGATCCACAATCAGCTCTCATCATGTGGTGCCAAGAAGAAAAATATCTTCTTTTTAAGGCAAGAAGAGGAGTGTGAACTGTGAAGGGCAGGAAAAATGAGACGTATTGCTTTGTGTGTTCAAAAGGTTTGATTATATTGACTTGAAGACAATAGGACTTGCTTTTGTGGAGATGACATCAAATGGTCTGCCGTCTTTACTTGTGTACCTGTCAGTGCACAAGATCTAACAATTCCTGACCTCCTCTTTTCTGTTCTATATCCTTCCACGTTACTAATTAACTTACAGTACATGTCCACAGAAGCAACGATTTCAACAACCAAATTACTCTCCGTTAGTTCCCCTGCCACATCAGGTCCTACGCTCTGTATCTCTGCTCTGAAGAAGGTATTGGGTTACTCTATAAACGGACAGAATTGCTTCATTAAATAGCTTATTAAATAGCTTATTTGACGGAGTGGTATGTGACATATCTCTGTGTTTTAAGTAGTGTAGGGTTACCCCTTCCCCTGGGCCATAACATATTATGAAATGCGCAGGTTGCTTTGTGCGGGGCCCGGGTCACGGCCTGCTAAATATTTAGGGAGGGTGTACAGGCCCCGGCAGCCCTCCCAGATTGAGGGAGACACTATAGAAATGGCAAAGAAAATAAACAAACGCAGGTCTGGAGATAGGAGGGTGCTGCTGGAGATGGACAGAGCAGGTTGGGGCACATATCAATTTAAGTCAGAGAAAAAAATGTTGGCCAGTTAATTACTGGTTAATAATTATCTCAGGTTACTGATTAAAAAGAATGTTCATTGTGTCCTTAGAGTATCTTCCACAAGACCAAAGACGTCTTTAAATACTTTCACTTTATAAACACAAGTTTATAGACCCGTCTACTTAACATGGAGAGAAACGAGGCCCACCTCTGTGTTCATCAGGTTTGACTATAATCTCTATTATAACAGATTTTGCATCCACATGCAGAATCTGTTGGCAATGGGACAAGATTTTGGTATTGGACATGTTCTGTTTTCTGTTCGTAGTCCAGTAATGTTGACCAATTTGTTCGAACGGGCTTTAGTTGAATGCTGGTAAAAACCCGAGAAATCCAGAGGCTTATCCGTCGTCAGACCGATAGCCAATGGGTTCCGAGATAAATAAAGACACTTTTGAAAGGGAGGTTCAGAGAGAGATCAAAAACAAGTTATTTCTTACATTTGTTTGACAAATTCAAAGTGATATTTCTGCAGATGCATGATGATATGATTAGAGCTCAAAATCTTTCTACATCTGTACTGAAGTGAAGCATCACACAGACCAAGTACAAATTCAAAAAATGGGTTTTTGTATGCGAGTAGAGATTTAAATGCAATCACTTGAAGGGTAAAGGAATAATGAGGGGAACAGGGTGATAAAGAGTATGTTGGGTGTGTGTGTGTGTGTGTGTGTGTGTGTGTGTGAGAGAGAGAGAGAGAGAGAGAAAAGCCCATGTAGGTGTCTCCCATGTTTGACAAAGGGATTATTTGAGGATCAAGTAAATCTTGCAAAGCCATCAAGACAACTGCAGACAATAATCTGCACACACACCCACACCCACACACACACACACACACTGACCCCACACAAACAAGCTTACCTTTGGCCACTGCTGAAGAAACAGTACAAAATCCCAGACACAAACACACACAAACATCCCCTCCCCTACCAACCACAGGAACATCACCCAAAGTCACACACTGTAAATAAACAGTATTGATGGGACAGATACACACATATACACACACCTTCTGCCAGCGTGTTGTCCTCTGAGTGTCCATTCAGACTGGTCATGCTGGAGATTAGTCCATTTTTCTCCAAAGGCTAAAAAAGACACAGAGAGAAGAGACGCTCAAAAAAGTATTTAAAATAGAAACGTTTTAAAAAAGTGCATTAGCATACACAAGGGTAAATTAGTGGTTTCTTTTCCTTTGAAGGAATAGTTGGACACTCTCATGTCTCAGTACAGAGCTGGTGTCAGCCAGGAGGCAATTAGCCTAGCTTAGCAACTGACCCATCATGTTTTATGATCCATGAAGCAGCCTGCCAGAATGCTATCAGATCCTTATAATGGTGCCACTATGATTTGCATCCCTTTTATTTAAAGATTAACTTTTTGCCATTAGTGGAAGTGTGTAGTGGCAGACAGGAAGCGGAGAGAGAGCGGGGGCAATGACATGCATAAATAGTTTTTTAGCAGGCGGTAAAATTCATTTTTAACAGACAAAAACAAGCTACACAGAAATCCCTCAACAGACATAGTCATATAACAACATCACAGCAAAAAGGAATATTATAAGAATAATGATCAAAAAGTAATTTTTCCATTATGGTGTGTTAACAAGTAAATAACACAGTGTCTAGCTCACAGCACCTTATCAGTCGGATCTGGGTCCTTTCTCTGGTAGTGACCAGCTCCGACTGACAGCCGTACAATGGCAGGCAGGCCAGAGCTTTGTCTGTCCCGGCCAGGGGAGAGGGAACCAGAGCCTCCCCACAGAGCTGCTAATCTAACTAATGGACAACTCAGGCTCCATTCCCATCAGCCCAAACTCCTTCAGGAAAGCCCTGAAAGATGACACCACAGAGGAGACTCTGCCTGGGACCGGTTGGGAGGGACATACTAAAAGATGAGAAAACAAAGGTGAGAGCTGGTTTATGGAGGGGGGAGGGACGGTCATCAGCTGGGGGGATTTAGGGACAGCTACATTTTAAGTCCAGTCCAATGTCTGCCTTTATTTGCAATTGTAGATGTAAATCAGATACATTAACTCCAAAAACACAATACAACCACATAATACAACCACGCCCTTTACCCTCGTTTAATCCCTTCCAAGCGCTCCAGAAACTCAATGTGCGGTCACAATATAGTTCTGGACAGTTTCACTCATTTTGCAGCATGAGATCATTTCCATCTGCCTTTAATATTGACACATTTTACTAATCAAAAGAAACACCACAGTTGCAACCCATGCACGTGAGCACGTGAGCACGCGAGAGCCCTGTAGGACTTGCAAATGTGTCTGCAATTTGCGAGTGACAGTTATTTGTGAAACAGGACGCTGCCTCTATTTGAGATCTGCATGTAAGGAGTACTAGCAAATTGCTTTTGTTAAACAGACCCCTGATTCTTTACAAGAAATACAAGCAATATAATTAAAGCAAGTCGAGATCATTCTTATATATTGGAAGGAAAAAATTCATTGGCTCAAATGTTTTTCACACAGAGTAGGATGGTGCTGTCATTTCTGTCCTTTAAAAGCCATCAGGACCTCTGATCAGATTTGGTGAGGGAGCCATCGGCAGGCCTGCATCAACCGCGCCCAACCCTAGTCTACCTCATGACTGGCATTCCCAGCATTCTTTACCGTCAGCCCACCTCCCCCAAATCGTCACCCTTTGACCACTCCTGTCCCTAAGTTACCTAATAAGCCCCCTCTGACCCGTCATAATGCCACTCCTTCTTCTGGCCGTCAAAAATGCTGCTGCTATCTTCTCACCGCAGCAAGACTCAACAGAGCGATGGCAGAGAGTTCTTCGGGATGAGGATGAATGAGCATCCTGGGTCATTATATAATCAGGGAACCCAGGATCCATGGGAATTACATCCATATTAGACACGTGAAGTCAGATAAACTGTCTCAGGTGAGATCACTTGCCGGGAAAGAATACAAGTTTGAAAATGACACAAATCTGGTGGTGGTGAATCTCGCTCCTCATCTTTGTATACGGCATAGATAAGGTATAAAGAAGAGTATAAGAAGTGGACGTAGTCATCGTAACGCCACCCATTGGTTTGTGGACTGCCGTTATGAAGCCTCGAGTTCTGGGATTTGGCCGTCACCATCATGGGTTATGGCCTTTGCCATCTTGACTTTTTGCAACTGTTAAACAGAAGTGACGACATTTGGAATGCGGAGGAGTGACGTAGAGACGCTGTTTACGGCTCTGGTAGCTGCTGCGAGCTGTCAATCACAGTAAGCCCGCCCTAAAGCATACTCTGCTTAATGGTCTATTTGACTCTAAATGGGACCATCATTTACTATCATACTATAAACTCCCACATTGGCTTCACTCGGCAGAACCGCAGGTTGCCGCCTGGTCGATGGTCAAGACAAGATGGATTGTGGGTAATGTAGCCAGCAGGTTTTGACAAGGAAGAAGAATGCATAGAAATAAAAAAGACAATGTCTCCGGTTCTGCTGCATGGTATCTGACACCGCTTTTACGAAGGACCCTAGAGAAATGATTGAAAGGCTGTGTTGGTATGAGAATTGCAGTTGTAGTGAACCTAAACTGAACTGACCCAAAAACTGATAAGTACTGCGTTGACTGAGCTGCTCCGAATTCCTTTTGCGAGTTCCCAGACTGAATATTTAGAAGTTTCACTGCCAGTAGTGCATTTTTTTACGTCTGCTTGGTCAGCAGGGTTTGCCACAAAGACTTAAAGACAGACTTAGACCTGCTGGTCCCAAAACAAAACATCCGCTCAACAAAACAACAGCAGGGGAAAAAACATTGTTTTGTGTTCTGTCTGGTTTTCTATGGTTTGATTTATCTTATTGGAAAGCATTTAAGCAGAGCCTTATTCATATTCAGGAGCAACTGTTATTGTTCCATTTTGCAGCATTACTTAACACGTCTAGATAGAGGGGCGTACAGGAGAGATATACCTTCCCTCATGTGCAGGACGTACGTTCTGTATGTGTAGATGTGTGTGCTTAGTGATGTGTAAACATGATATTCATTATTCAATTAACCGGTAGCACTAAAGTGTCAACTATCTGTTTACACCTCCTGCTCCTGTCTCTCTTTTAACCTGTTTGAACTCTTTATGTTTGTTCTTGGTCTCATCTTCATTTGTCACAAGAGGCTACATACTCAGAAAGGATGATTTTATCTCCCTCCTTCCCTCTTTGCAGCCTCTTTCACTGCAGTGTTTACATATTAGGCACTTGGTATCTGTCTGCCAGCAGTCTTGTGTGGCGCTGACGGTAATTGCTGTGTCACCATTCAGACATGTTAATAACCGCTTGTCTTATTACAATGAGTGGCAGACAGGTAAAGCCGAACTCGATGAATACTTTAACAGGTTAAATCATAAATCCTTGATATTAACATCAAAGAATAAGGCTGGTGATATTCCATCATTTTCTAGAAAAGACCAAAATCAACAATGAATTGATCCTACTGGCTGCGTTGCCATTGAGCTCCAAACACGTCAATGAGCCACATTGTTGCACTGGATGACATGTTATTTCATTATGATGAACGTGGGTCAATCCCAAATGCTTGCGTATTAATCTGCTACTGAAAATAGTCTCAAACAAAGGATTTTTTTACTCCTATTTGAGGAACATTTACTAAAAACTACATTGTCCTGCTGTTTGAGAAAATCACTGAGCCGTTTTCTAAAGATCGTCAATAGGAACCAACGGGTTTTAGGCTCAGAGCTACAGACAGGAAAGTCAAAAGGCAGACCCAGGCATTGATGGTTATGATTTTTCATGGTATTTGTTGACAATAAGGAAAACATAGAATAATCATAGACCTAGCTTCATAGAAAGTGCTGGAAGATCAGGGTTAGTAACTTGACAGAGCTGTGTTTTTACCGATTCCACCTGTGCTGCAACATTACATTTCCTATATCTGCCTAAGCTACGGTAGCAACAGAATAATTTGTTCTTGCTCTCAGTTGCAAAAGCATGTGAATACTGACTTTCTCTGCTTTCATGACACTGAGCTTAACGTTTAGCCCACTACACCAAAGTTATTTCCCAGCAACAAGATCTCTTGACAGGGACATTGGGTAACAAGAGCTGGTAAACTTACTCAAACTTCAACAGACTGATCATATCTTGCTGCCCCGTAGGGAAGTCTGTGTGTGAAATTGTCTTTCATGCTCCTTAATGACAAAAAACAATACTTCAAAGTCGAATTAGTCAGTCCACTTTGTGCAATAAAGCTTTCAGATAAACTTTAAATCCTTCCCTCCTGATTGTCCACAATGACAATGACCTGCAATTTCAGAATCGGCACTGGAGGAAAGATTAGATTGTCTCTTTTGTTATGATCTTTTCTCTCACTTTACTACTCTTTCTGCTTCACTTTTATCCTGAATTTATCTTTCATTCTTATTTTCTCTCATGTGCCTCCCTCATTTAGGCTACTTCCTGGCTGCACCTCTACACTCCACGAGAGAGACAACTCGCTGTCTCCTAAATCACTCCACAAAGGCCGGCGGAGGAGATTTATATCCCCTAAACCAAACACAGAACGCAGGAGGAGGGGGTTAATGTAAAAGAAGAGGGTGACGCCGCTGGCAAATTACATCTCAAGCGCAGGTCTCTTGTCTATAAGGAGAGGCAGCGAGAAGAGGCAGAACTAATATGCAAAAAGTGTTTTGTTGACCTTTGTTTAATGAAATCTGATCCACTCAAATAAAACAGAATAGCCTTTTTGAGGGTGAAATTGACTTAGGAGCTCACATGGACAAAGACAGTAGGGTCGTTGTGGTTTGTAGCTCGCATTTGACTCCTCTTATTTTGTATCTCTGTAGAGATTTATACAAGCTACTGTCAAGATGGTTTAAAGCCTTTAAAAATGGGGATGGAGTATATTTGAGAATCCTTGTAGAAATAAGCAGCTATCAGATACAGTAGGCTAATATTTTCCAGCTCACCATGAAACTAGCTGTACTTGTCAATCATAACACAGGGCACAACAATGATGAAGCGGAAACAGCGGTCATGAATTCACTCCATCTGGCCGATGTGGTTTGTTGACAATGACTCAGCAAGGTGCTGATGAAAATGCACATGGTG